GCTCTTCGTTCTCTCTGGTGCTCACCCCGACCCTCTGAGGCATAACTTCCTGTTTCCGCTTTCCGAAGAAAACTTTCTTACCCTTTCCTCTGCTCTTCCATTTTTTACGAAAGCGCTCTGAGGGAGACGTCGCTAACCTTGGGCTACTTCAACCAAGAACCATGGTGGCTCTCCAGTTCTCCAATAACACCCTGGCCCAGCAATGTCATGGTTAGGAATTTATTTTTCATACACACTTGAGTATATAGACAAAGCAACCATAAGTGGATGTCTGCTGGGTTATGATTTACACTCATAAAAGTTGGGAAACAGCTTAGACATCTATTGATGGGATATTGATTGAGAAAAGTCTTGGCACACTTTTCCAATAAAATATTCTTTAAAGTAGCCTACGGGCTAGAGACTTGGTTCAGTGGTTAAGGGCACACATTGCTCTTACAGAGGACTGGCATTTGGTTCCCCTCTCTCTCTCCCTCTCTCTCATAAATAAAATTTAAAAGTATCTTGCAATGTACTGTGGCAGACTTTCATAAGAAATGCAACACTAAAGTATAAACACAATGCATGTCTCAATTATCTTGCAAACTCATAAGTAGATTCTATATGGGAACAATGAGCAGGAATGGTTACCTGTGAGGTAGAGCTAAGCTGATGGGACTGTGTGAGAGGGCCTTTTCACTCCACATACCTCTGCATTGACATAACTGTAAATGGGGAGAGAGCAAGAGAGAGAGACAGAGAGAGGGGGGAGATAGAGATAGAGAGAGAGAGAGAAGTCTACTCAAAACAAATTTAAAGCAACACAGAAGGAGAGAAACAGAACCATCATTTAAGTGACTTGACCATAAGGGAAGTGGCTGGTGAGCAGGCCTGTCCAAAAGGGACCACAGAGCCCAGTTGTGCAATGACAGTCTGGTTAGGTCGGTGGTAGGGAGGGGTGTGCCGGCTTGGTAGCTCCATTCCACAGTTTTCCATTCTGCACAAAATCTCAATGTTTAATCCACTCTCCTCCCGTCCAGGGCACACCTAGGACCATGCTCATGAGGTCCCAGAGTCACAATGAGTGCGTCCCTAACATGGGGCACTCCTCCGGCCTAGCTTCAAAGGGTCCCAAATCAGCCCTGAGACTGGGGATGGGGGTGAAGGAGATTTTGTGTCCCTAAAGCCTTCCTTCTATTCCCTACTCAACCCGGTTTCCTCTCTAAGCCAATTGGGGATCTCTTCTCTCACTGTTCGACACCTCTGCGCTTCAGCTCGGCTCCCACTGTCCTGTCTGCTTACTGCCCAGCAGGTCCCTGCCGTTCGTTCATCTGTAAAATGGGAAGGATGGGAACTGTTTCCCAGTGTGGTCATAAGAGATAAATGATTCTCCTGCAGGGTGATGGGTGACGCAGGTCTCAATTTAGGGAGCTTGTGCTGGCACGGAGGAGGAGGAGGACAGCGCCCTCTCATCCCAGAGGCTTGTTTCCAACTTAGACAGCCGTGCTCCATCTTACAAATAAGCCGTCAGGACCTGTGGTCTCCAGGGCTGCCAGGGCTGCTGGGAAAGAGGAGGTAGAAGAGGCCTTAACAGCCTCAGGCCAGGCACCAAGCAGCATTCTGTCCCCGAGGAGTAGGAATCAGCCCCCAGGAGGGAGACATAACCAATGTCCAGCCCTCCTCCTAAGGTTACTCTGACAGATCAGAGTATGGCTCCCACAGACCTCACCTTGAGGGGCCAATGAGTTTATTGGGCTTTCTTATGGAGCATGGGTAAAGTGGCTTCCTGGAGCAGGGGTGACCCCAAAGTAGCCACACGGCGAAGCCTTCACCCAACATGGCTGACAGCTTCCCTGTGACCTCATATATGGACTCCCCTTCCGTTAACCTCCAGCCCGTATACTCTAATACCTTGAACAGAGCCTCAGACCATGTGCAACCGGGGTAAATTTCATACAAATGGCCATGAGGAGTGTCTGGAATCTCAGGTGAGGGTCCAGTGACCCTCCCTTCCCCGTCTCTCTAGGAGGGGACCTCAGTAGCCAACTAGCCCCGTGATGAGCCTGGCAAGTGCACGGCTCGTCCTGTGAAGACGGAGGCTGTTTCGTCCAGGGGGTGGTATTCTACAGCACGGATGAAATAGCTGGTGACCTCACGTTCACCACACAAGAGCCTGGAAAATGGGGAGCACAGCCTTGGCCCAACTCCCTGGGGTTCCGTTAGCACCCCCCCCCCACTACTGGGCTACATGCCTTGCTATCCAGAAACTTCCTGCTCCTCATCCGGACTGTCCCAAGGTTTGGCACGGTGAAGTGCAGATGATGGAGTCCCCAGACATCCCCCACTAGTCCCCTGGCCACGTGTGTCACCCTGGACTCTCGCCTTGCCCCTCGTGCAGTAAGTCACCACTAGGGAATGCTAAGAAGCTGGGTGCGTGATCTCAGGATCGGATCAGTGGAAACAGCAGTGCCAGGAACAGCGTAGAAAGCGGCTGGGATTCTCGGACCTTTGACCTCCGACCTCTGACCTCCTTGGCCAGAGGGGCTGTGAACACGTGGCATTTCTGCAGGACCATGTGATCCATGCAGCTAATCACTTGCAGTCTTTTGTGAGAATCCAGTTGAAGGAGACTAAGGGGTTGAGGGAGGGGAAGGCCTTTGGTTAGGATGCCTCCATCTTTCTCTGTCGCGAGCAGCGTTCCGTTAAAGAGACCAACACAGCAACGAAGATGAAAATAAGAAGCGCACGGGGCTGAGCATGTGGTTCGGTCTGTAAAGGGCTCGCCGTACAATCATGAGGACCTGCCCAGGATTCCCCATCATCCGTGTAAAGCGTTGGGCACTGTGATCCCAGTGCTGGGAGGCAGAGTCGGTAGAATCCTGGGGCCTGCGGGCCAACGGGCCCTGCCCAATCAGCGAAGAGAACAAAGGAGAGAAATCCCTGGGTTGGGGGTAGGATGGATTGAAGTGAAGTCTGTTTCCTGCTCCACCCCGTCTCAGCTCAGGCCTCTCATCCCCTCCTGCCCAGAATAGCCTGTGTGAGGGAAAGGCAGGGTGGGGAGACCGACCAGCCCTCACTCACAGCTGCCCGCTGCCCCAGGATGGCCAGCTGCTAGGGGCTGCTTCCTCCCTGCCCGCCACTCTGGGAGGCCAGTGGCTTCTGTCACCACATGTGAAAGGGGTTCCCTCCCTCCACATGCCAGGTGATCCTCTCTGACCTCCTACAACCCAGACCACCCAGTCCCTGCAGCCGTCCGGGGACCCCCTTTCCCTTTCATTGGCGAGTGGAGTGGTTCCAACCTCATCCCGCAGGCATGTGGGAAATGCAGTTTCAGCCCTAAGATCCAGGGGGGGGGTATTTTCAGGTCCCTCTTTCTGCATCCACACCCCCAAATGCATGCCCCATGTTTCTTTCTCCCCTCAGCATGGCACATGAAGACAGCTTGAACTAAAACAGCCTTAAGGCAAAACACACTTGGTGCAAAATGCAAACCAAAGCCAGAGTCTCAGCTAAAGCCTTGGGGTGAGGGCCAGTGAGTGGGTGGGGAGGAGGGAGGGATGGGCTTCTGGCTTCCAGAACAGTGAGAAACAAATGTTAGCTACTTTAAGCTACCCATTTTGTGGTCATTTACTTCACTCGGTAGTTCCTGGCGTAAGTGTTCCATAATGCTAGACTAGTGACTACCAGGCTCCCTACCAGATCCGACTTTTATCTGAACCCAAATTTCATTAAAAGTAATAATGACAGGAGGAAAACTATCAACCTGTTTTGCTAAACTATAGGAACATCTCCCAGGCCTCACATTTAGCTGTATACATGTCTCATAGAGCTTTTCAGAACAGAGCCCGAGACTGACTCCTTCGCCATTCCACCAAGGCTGTGTGGGTGGACTGCCTTGTCCCTGCTCCGCAGCCTTAAAGCTGGTCTCCCAATGTGAGTCCCACCCCCATAAAGCTCACATAACTTGGCATTTAGTTCATGTTAAGACTGACTTTAAACTCGAGATCCTCCGGCCTCAGCCTCCCGAAGTCTTGGCTTTACAGCCATACACCACCTCACCCAGCTGGACTGGGCAGTTTCTGGTGGCTTCTCCCTGTGTCCTCACATCCGTGAAACCTATCTGTCTTCCCTGAGTCCGTTAAGGCTCTCTTGTCTCCTCGACCATGCCGCCATGTTTCTAGTACTTGGTATCACCCAACTAATTCAGTGAGCCCCACTTTTACCACCTTTTAAGAGCTAAGGTTGACTCTTTCCCTGTTGACCCCTGGACAGGGAGATGTAGGAGGGCCCGGTAGTAACTCCATTTCTGCTCTCTGGTCTGACACGGAGCTGGTCAGGACTCAGTGGCTTTGTTCACAAATTAGGGCTAATTGTTCCTTCTGCCACAAAACCACCAGGAGCAAATGTGAGTGTGTGTCCAGAGTCTTCTCTGCAATGGGTGTAAAGAAAACATCTTCCATACCGTTTGAACCACCAAGTCCTCGTCATTGCAAAGCATGGGAATCTTCCCTCAAAGTCACTTGAGGCACAGCTTCATCAGAGGCATTCGATGGCCCCATCAAGAAAGCAAGCATGGCTTATTGTCTCAATGAAAAGACAAATTCAAACTTAACCATTTTTTTTGGTTTTTCGAGACAGGGTTTCTCTGTATTGTTTTGGAGGCTGTCTTGGAACTCGATCTTGTAGACCAGGCTGGCTTCGAACTCCCAGAGATCCACCTGCCTCTGCCTCCCGAGTGCTGGGGTTAAAGGTGTGCGCCACCAACACATGGCTCCTTAACTAATTTCTTAAGTCTGTTCTTCATATCAACATATCAACTGTCAGCTTAGCCTAGCTCAATCACATTGCACTGTCTCACAACATCTTGGGGTGTCTACACCCCCGATGGCAGACGAGAACAAGTGGTTCCAAGAAAGGAAGAATCTTAGCCAAGGTTACACAGCTGGTTCGCATCACAATGGAATTCCAACCCACCACCTTGACTCACAAAGCAAGGTTCTCTTCACAACCCATGTATTCCAGCAGCATGTGAGAGAGTGATTTAGATGAGAAGGGGGATAATTTCAGGAACTCTGTGAGGGGCTGTTCCCTATGACTCAACTTCCCTATCTGCAGAATGAGGGAGCCCACAAAATACCTGCAAAACACTGTTTCTCGTGGAGATAGGCAACCAATCAACTAAGACGTTTGGCACTAGGGGTCTGGACCAAACTCCAACACGGATATGAAAGAGCCGTGCAGACCGGAGAGGGCTTGATGACTGAAAACTGTAGTTTCTATTACTCTCTAGATCCTCTAGTCAATGGGAAGATCAAGTTTGATTTCTGCTTCATAAAGAAAGAGGAATCCACAACCTAAATCCACTTGACTGTATTGTGTTACCCACTTTCCCTGTTGCCTGACAACAGGGACTTAAGGGAGGGATGCAAGCAGAGGTGGAGCTTTCCTTTTTCCCGCCACCTGTCCCAAATAATCACACACAAGCTTATACTAATTACAGAATGCACAGCCTATGGGTGAGCCTTATTACTAACTAGCTCCTTCAACTTGCTTAATCCAATCCTATTCATCTATATTTTGCAACATGGTGAGTGGCTTTACTAGTCCTCTGACATCTTGCTTCCTGGCAGAGGCTGCTTGCCTCTCTCTCTCTCTCTCTCTCTCTCTCTCTCTCTCTCTCTCTCTCTCTCTCTCTCTCTCTCTCTCTCTCTCTTTCTCTCTGCCCCTTCCCTCTCTGAATTTTCAGTTTGGCTTTCCCACCTAGCCTTATTCTGCCTTGCTATAGGCCAAATCAGCTTTATTATTAACCAATGAGAGTAATGCATGTTCACAGCGTACAGAAGGATTATCCCACAGCAAAGGTGGGCTTTGTCATGCCTCATAGTCTGAGGGGCTACAGTCCATCGTGACTGGGAAGGCACGGTGGCGCGGGAGGCAGCCGGACATGTTGTATCCGCACTTGGGAAGCAGAGGGAGACTAATTCAGTGCTAAGACGTCTTCCCTTTTCTTCGGCTCAGAACTCCACTTCTTGGAACAGTATGTCCAAGTTCACGGTAAGTTTTCCCTCCTCAGCTAATCCTCCCAGGAAACGCCCTCACAGACATGACTAGTTGATATCACGCTTCACCTTCTATACTGAGACAGGCTCCTCACTGAGCCAGGAGCTCCCCGGTTTGTGTAGTCCAGCAAACCTGCCTGCTCTGGGGAGCCCCTGCCTCTGCTTCCTATGCCCTGGGATTACAGGAGGGCTGCCATACCCATTCTCAGCTTTTATGTGGGCTCTGTGAGTTCAAACTCATGCTTAAGCCACGAGCACTTCACCCACTGAGCTATTTCTGCTCCCCGTGTGTAATGACTACCCAATGCTGTGCTACAGCAAACACTGTCCTTTATCATTTATAATCTCAACATCTCCCAGGCCATAGCACTCCCATCTCACAGATAAGGACACTAAAGGTCCACCCAGGCAGAAGAGGCAGACCTCAAACTCTAAAATGCTGTCATGGCAAGGGTCTCTAGAAAGTAAGAGACTGGAGCTGAGGAGGCGGCTCAGCGGTTAAAACACCGCACAAGCGTGAGGACTGGATTTTGGGTCCCCAGAACCCACATAAACATCAGGTGGGTGTTGTGGCCCACCTGTAATTCCAGCCTCAGCAAGTGGAGACAGGATCCCTGGAGCCAGCTGCCTGGCGAGACGAGCCTCAGCTGTGCTGAATGAGGTAGACTAGCTGTAGAGACTCCTGGCATCATCCTTAGGACTCCACCACGCATCCACCTCCACAGGCACTTACAGCAAAACGCACGTGCAAACATGCATGCACACACACTCGAATAGAAGTGGGAAAACGAGATAAAGGCGTGCAGTCTTGTCTTTAGAGCAATAGAAGAGAAAAAGAGGCGAAAGTGAGAGACAGAAGGCGGGGTGAGGTGGGAAGAGCCGGTGTTTAAATGGCACCCCTCCCCTGTCCCCTGCTGAAGCTGGAAAGTCAGGGACCAGCACCACCTGGTTGTACATAAACTTCACAGAAAGTGCAAGCCGACAGAGCTGGTGGGGAATCGGGTGACCCAGCTTGGGAAGAATCGCCAGTAGTGGCTCCAGCTGGCGTGGCTAGAAAAAGTAGGGACCTCCCAGTCCCCTATCACATGGGCACTTTGTGAACAGGGCGTCGCCTGGAATAAATGAGCCTCTGGAGCAGGAAAACTCTGTGGTTTGGGGCTTTCTGGTCTTACTGGTGTGGGTGGGGACAGAGGCCACATCCCAGGCCATCCCTTGGGAAAGCAGCTCCCAGAGTAGGTCAGTTATGCAGTATTGTCCCCGGGGTGCTCCTGGAGCTTCCTCCTGAGTGACTTCTGCAGCTCTTCTGGGAAGTCTAGAAGACATCCCTCTTCTTCAGAGAGTACCTGGAACAATGCCGGTCAGCTGCTCACAGCTGAGAGCCTAATAGACACTTGGTCTTCAAGGGTGGGTTGCAGCATAGTGAGAAGGGCGTGCATTCAAAGGGACTGCAGTTACTGCAAACATGATCTTGTTAGATCACTTAAAGGGCCCATGAGAGAGACACTACTGCCCCCGCTATTCAGATGGGCGAAATTCACATCAAAGGTGTGGGGCAGCAGGGTCCTGGTTACGGTTTCTATCATATGATGAAACCACATGGCCAAAAGGAAGTTGAGGAGGAAAGGGTTTGTTTTGCTTCCACATTGAAGTCCCTCGCTGAGGAACAGGACAGGAACTCAAACGGGACAGAAACCAGGAGGCAGGAGCCGATGCGGAGGCCAAGCATGGGTGCTGCTTACTGACTTGCTCCTCATGGCTTCCTCAGCCTGCTGTGTTATAGAACCCAGGACCTCCAGCCCAGGGACCCTGCCCCATCAATCACTAATCAAGAAAATGCTCCACAGGCCTGCCTACAGCCTGATCTTATGCAAGCATCTTCTCAATAGATGCTCTCTCCACTCCAGTGCCTCTAACTTGTGTTAAGGTGACATAAAACCAGCCAGCACACTCAGCAACCGGGAGAGGCTTCAGAGTGAAGCCTGAATCCAAGGCCTGTCTCATGTGCACTGTTCCAAAGATTCTCATATACGTCCAGTGACTGACTGCACTGAAAGCTAGTCTCACCGTGTTTAAATCTGACTTGAACGTTAGTCTGGGAGGTCTGAGACATATCTGTGGAATGCTTTAACTCCACGTGACCTTCCTCAGCCACATGGCTGTGTATGCCAGATCCCTTGAAACCGTGGCTGGGCAAATTGGTCTCTTAGACTATCGTGCCTGTCTGTCCTGTGTCATTCTCCCGGTCGCTCACGTTTCTCCTCCCCCCCATGTGTTCTAAACTATTTCCCACCTATCTTCAGGATTGGATCTCCAAGGCTGGCACTGAAACTGACATTTACCAAGTGTGGTGGTTTGGATGTATTTGGCCCCCACAAGCTCATAGGGAGTGGCACTATTAGGAGATGTGACCTTGTTGGTGGGTGTGGCTTTATGGGAGGAAGTATGTCACTGTGGAGCAGGCTTTGAAGTCTCCTGTGCTCCAGCTACACCCTGTATGGACACAGACTACTTCCTGTTGCCTGCAGATCACGATGTAGAACTCTCAGTTCCTTCTCCAACTCCATGTTTGCCTGCCTGCCACCTTGTCCCCATTATGATAATGGACTAAACCTCCGAAACTGTTTGCTTTTGTTTTGTTTTTTGAGACTGGGTTTCTCTGTGTGGCTCTGTAGACCAGGCTAGCCTCGAACTCACAGAGATCCGCCTGCCTCTGCCTCCCGAGTGCTGGAATTAAAGAACTGCCCCACCATTCCCTGGCTAAACCTCTGAAACTGTAAGCTACCCCCAATTAAATGTATTTAATTAATGTAACTCTTATAATTAATGTAACTCTTATAATTAATGTAACTCTTATAATTCCTTTATGAGAGTTGTTGTGGCCATGGTGTCTCTTCACAGCAATCCTATGAAACCCTAAGACACCACGTTCTCAATTAATGATGAATGAATGAATGAATGAGCAATTCCTCTAAGGGGTTTTCTGTATTGAATTCCACAATAAGGAAGTAATTTGGAATATCTCAAGCTTTTCTCCTAAGAGCTCCACAGCTGGACATCTCTGAGATGCAGGATCCTGGCCAGTCTGGATGTCAATATGCAAACGAAGGAACCTACAGCAACTTCTGTGAAGAACCTCTACCATGTTAATTCCCTTCAGTGACCTCAAGCCAGGATTCTGGTAGAAGAAACAGGAGCGGATGGAGAAGTACCAAGACACCCTCACTAGAAAAGCCCTCGAGGCCATCATTCAACTGTACACATACATGTGTGCGTGAGTGGAGATACACACTTTGGGTAGTTGATGACAAATAAAATGGCTGTTTGACAATCCTTCAGACAGGAAGAGAGATGAGGAGTGGTAGAGCCCTTACCTGCTATAAACGTGAGTAGAACTGCAGAGTTTTCTCAAGAGACTATAGTGGAGCCATGTTTCTACCCAGCAAATGTCTGTGTTTGGTTCACAGAAGCTGGGGTGGGTATGGCAGGGCTGGCATTCCGGCTCCACCGTCATGGTTTTCAGTCCCTCAATTTCTGATGATGGTGCCATTAGGTGGGTATTGTTATGGTTGTATAGCCCTCCCTTATCTTTTGTGGTTGCTTCATCTTATGTCCACAGATTCTTTGGAGATGAATAGATGACTTATTTTCATTGTTTGTCTTTTGTTTTTTGACACAGGGTCTCATATAGCTCTAGCTGGCCTCAAACTCATGATGTACTAGACAATGGTGCTGAACTTCTGACCCTCCTGTCTCTACCTCCTGAGTGCGATGATTATAAGCATGTGTCACCATGCCTGGCTTATGTGGTACCAGTGATTAAACTCGGGGCTTTGTACATGCTAGGCAAGCACTCCACCAACCAAGCTATAACCCTGGCCCTGCATTCTTCTTGAGTAATAAAATAAATCAGTCTAAATCTTGTAGAATACCTCAGAGACCACCTAATGTGCCTGCTTCTTATTTTAAAGGAGGAAGAGATTGTGTCCCAGAAAAGAGAAATCACTATTCCTGAGTCACACTGCTGGCAGAAGCAAGCATTGAACCCAGGTGTCCTGACGCCAGGTCTAGGACAACACCACAGTGCAGCCACCCAGGATTGCAAACCTGATTTACACCATCACTTGTAGGTTTTTACAGTCTCCAACCTGGGCTTCCCAGCACCCTGTGGAGTGTAGAAGCACCCCTCACCTCACACACATTGACTTCAGCAATGCCAGCCCATTGGTCGCTCTACCATCAAGCCCGAGTCTCCCGTTGTGAATCATCTCTTAAAGGAGTTTTACATCTGCTGCAGGGAAATTTACGGGCCTCAAGTTACCAGCCATAATTTTGGTCATTTGGGGGAAATAATGATGCTATAGTCGTCACTTTCCAAATGTTGCAGGAACCTGACCCCAATCAAGAAACCTCTCAATAAATCAGCTCAAAAATGGCATCCATTTCTTGCCTTGCTGTTCAGAAGGTCGCAGCTCTGAATCAGTGTCTGGGCTGGAGAAAGCATCCAACTCACAGTCTCGTCTAGATTTTCATAACAGCTGCCATTGTTCAAAGAGGGATTCATAACTCTCCGTGGACTCCAGCCAACGGGCCTGAGCCAGACCCACTATTTATGTCTGTTTGCTTGCGCGAAGTGCTCTATGGTTTTCAGGAGTTGCTCTTTCAGTGTGGGAGCTGTTCAGGTCTCCTCGGCCTGGTGCTGCCTGTGGACATCACTTCACAGCAAACACTCCTTGCTGACAAGCTGTTGTAAGTCTTCTTTGGCCCTTGATTTATGTTCAGATGACCAGGATCATTGTACAACAAGACTGAGGTCATTAAGAGCAAAAGCAACAGCCAACTCTTTGGAAGTGATTGCGCTGAGCCAAGAAACACTCATTAATTCACGCACTGCTAAAAACAACTCCGTGATGGTGGAATCCTGCTATCCTCAACCCCAGGAAACTGAGGCACAGCTTGGGTGGGTCGTACACTAATACTCAGAAGAGCTGGGGTGAGAGGCCGAGAAGACTGGTTCCTGTGACCCCTTCTTATAAAAAGAGATTTATTGTCTATAATTTACATACCATATAACTCACCCTCTTGACGTCTACAGTTCAGTGTGTGTTAGTACATTCCAAACTGGGCAACTGTCATCACTTTCTAATTCCAGGATATTTTCCTCACCCTCAAGGAGACCCTGTACACATTTGTAAACATCCCTAACCTTGCTTCTGTGGTCCTCAGCCGTCACAAATCCATTCTCTGTCTTTGTTTTTCTTTTCTGAATTACTTCATTCAAATGGAAACATGCAATATGTAACCTTTTGTATCCAGAAAGTTTCCAAGGTCCATCCATTAGTTGTATGTATCAATACTTCATTCTTTTTACAGCCAAATGTCACCTGTTGTGTGGAGACCTGCTTTGTTTATCCATTGACCAGCTGGATGCTTCCACTCTTTTGCTCAGTATGAATAATGCTGTTGTATTTGTTGCTTTTCTCTTTTTTAAATATTTGTGTGTGTGTGTGAGAGAGAGAGAGAGAGAGAGAGAGAGAGAGAGAGAGAGAGAGAGAGATGCCACATTTATGCAGATGCTCACAAAGACCAGAAGAGGACATCAGATCCCCTGGAGTTGGAGTTACAGGCAGTTGTAAGCCACCCCGTGGGGCTGCTAGGAAGTGAACTCAGGTCCTTTTAAAGAGCAGCAAGTGCTCTTAACCCCTGAGACATCTCTCCAGTCCTTGGCTATTTTTCTTATTGCTAGGACAAAAACAAATACTTAGAAGAAAAGAGACTTCAAAGGGAGGCAAGGTTTATTTAGGCTTGCAGTTTGAAGAGACAGAGTCTATCATGACGGGGTACTCATGGCTGCAGAAGCATGTGGAAGCTGGTCACATCCATAACCAAGAAATAGAAAGTGGGGCAGGCAGTGGGGCTGGATTACAAACGCCAGTGGCTGACTTCCTTCAGCAACGCCTGACCTCAAGGTTTCATAGCCTTCTAAATCACTGCCCCCAGCTGGGATTTCAGTGTTCAAAGACATGAGCCTATGGAGCTCATTTCACCTCCCAAACATAACAGCTGATATGTTACAATATACCAAACTATTCAAGCCATGAATTGATTTACATCTCCTTAATGACCAGTGATGTTGAATATCTTTTTGTGTGTTTGTTGACTATGTGTACACATTTCTCCCCCTTGGAGAAACACCTGTTCAAATTATATTCCCACTGACAGTCACATTTTTTCTGGTTAAATGCTGATTTGTAAAGTTGCTTAAAATATATATTCTACAAACGTAAGTCTACCCTTATTAGTGTTCTAATTGCTCTGACCGAAAACCTGAGAACAACTTAAAGGGGTTATTTTGGCTCAGTTTCAGAGGGTTTGGTCCATAGCTGCTTAGCTTCAAGTGCTGGGATATCATGCTAACAGGAGCTTGTGACTAAGTAGAATCTTCACTTGTCGTGGCCAGGAAGTAGAGGAAGAGAAAGGGGACCACGGCCGGGGTTACCTTCTGGCACAGCCCTGCTAACCTATCCTGAGGTGAGTCCCCACCGCCCAGCGTCTCCACCACTGACTTGGGACAAAGCATTCAGCACATGAGATTATGCGACATTTCACAGTCACGCTCTACAAAGTTCCCCATCAGTCCCTTTCTTGGTATCTCAGGAAAGACAAAAGTATACATCTCGAAAAGTCTAGTTTCCCTCACTTTTGCCTTGCTTGCATATGTACTTGGTGTCATACCCAAGAAGGCTTTGTCTAGCCCAGGGCCATGAAGAAATGCCCTGGTTTTTCTCTAAGACCTTAAGGTTTTAGATTTCATGAATGGGTCTATATTCCATCTTGAGTGTCTAAAATCCTAGCCAGTAGTAAGGCCAAAGGAAGATTTTTCCATCTGCCCTCAAAAGCCAAAACCCATCCCTGGGAAGGAGCTGAGGAGTCAGCTTCGTGTTTTAAAAACAAAACTCTGTCACTGAAGAAGGTAGTCATTAACACAGGAAGAAGATGCTGCTGGCCCAGCAGAGGGGTTCTGCTTGCCTCAGAGAAGCACCTAGTGTTCTCTGCCGGAGACACATTTGAGAAAGTATAGAGTGAGGCGGCTATCGATGACGAGACTGGAGTTTCAGAACTGAACTGGGATCGCTTCTCAGTCCTCCCTCTGAGATCTTAGGGTTACTCTTTCCTTTATCATGATTGTTAGTACAAGAAATCCCGACCCATCAGGCCACACCTTGACCATTAGTGACTGACGGTCTCTAGCTCCTAGTCATTCCTCCAGTACACAGGCCGAGGTTGTATGGCCCTGTCCCTTCAACAAGCAAGTCTTTAGCCTCAGAGGGTCTGGGATCTGATGCAGTTAGTGACTTAGCTTTGCTTCCCCAAGACAGCGACCCACACAGCGGGGAACTTACACAGCCATGATTTTCAGAAACAATTCTTTTGGAACAGTAACAATGACAGCTTGAGGAAATTTTCTTACGATGGTCAGGTCCCAATTGTTCTTCCTTGAAGGACCCCAAAAGAACTCTTCATCAAGAGTTACTTCCTCACCTGGGTGGTGGATGTCACATGTCTTTAATCCCAGCACAAAGGCAGAGGCAAGCGGATCCCTGTGAGTTCCAGGCCAGCCTGGTCTAGAGTTCCAGGACAGCTTCCAAAGTGACACAGAGAAACCCTGTTGGGGGGCGGGGGTTACTTCCTCATATCACCCCTAGAAAAGACAGGGAAAGTCACACTTATTGTTATCACAAGCTAACTCCAACATGCTGCAAGGCAGTGAGCAGTCGTCCTATGTCCCGGGGCCTTTCGTCCTGTGTCTCTGCAACATTGTCTGCATTCAGAGTCCCCTGCTTGATCCTCTCCACACACCCAGCGTGCAAGAGGAGGAGGCGCGGAGTGGCTTCACATGAGTGGCTTCACATTCCATCTGGCTGAGTCAGATGGACACAACTGACTTGAAAGACGCTAACGAGGTGACAAGGTCTCCTGTGCCCAGGAGATAAAGAAAGTGTGAGCTCACCGCAGTTTCTAGGACAGTTGTGAAGATACAGATGACATCACCATGATGACACAACCTTTATGATCCTTCCGAGCTACCCTAGTGAGTTTGCCAGCATTCAGTCTCCCTAGTCGCTTGTTCTCCTTAAATGTGACCAGATTTTTTTATACATTTATTTCATTTATATACGTGCATGTATATGAGTGGGAAGAGAATATCATGGGGGGGGGTAACCATGGAAGCCGGAAGAGGGCTCCATCCCCTGGAGCTGGAGTTATAGGCAATAATAAAAATAGAGCAACACTAACATGAGGAGAGACTTAAGGTGGGCATCCAGAACATGAGCAAAACGAGCCAGCAGTGCTTGGGGATGTGCGATTGCATGCTAAAGTATCAAAAAGTGTTTAGGGGGTGGGGAGATATCTCTGTTGCTATACCACTTGTGGTGCAAACACGAGAGCCTGAGCGTCTTCCCTAGCACCCACGTAAAAAGCCAGGTGTCTGCCATGCTGTGGTGACACACACCTTTAATCCCAGCACTCAGGAGGCAGAAGTAAGCAGATCTCTGAGTTCAAGGTTAACCTGGTCTACAGAGTGAGTTTCAGGACAACCAGAGCTACACAGAGAAACCCTGTCTCTAAAAAAATAACAAAAAACCACATTTCTTAGTTTGCTTTTTATTGCTGTAATAAAACACAATGAACAAAAACAACTTGGAAAGGGAAATACTTATCAGTCATATGTACCTCAACATCACAGTTCATCATCAAAGGAAGTCAGAACAGGAACTCAAGGCAGGAACTTTGAGACGGGAACTGAGTTGGAGACCCTGGAGGGTGCCGCTTACTGGCTTGCTTCTTCTGATGGCTTGCCCAGCCTGCTTTCTCATACAAGGACCACCCAAGGCTTGGGCCCTCCCACATCAGTCATCAATCAAGAAAACGCCCAGCAGACTTAGCACTGGCCAACGAGATGGAGGAACCCTCTTGGTTGAGGTTCCCTCTTCCCTGATGCCCCGCACTTGTGTTAAGCTGACAAAACAAAACTAAGCAACACATACATCAGGCATGACGTTAGAAATAAAACAAACACCATGATTGGGATCACCGCTCTGACTTGGTAAACAACTGACAGTACCAGAGAGTGAGACCAGAGAAGGTGTTGAAAGAGGGGGCGAGGGTCCTCAAGTCAAAGTGCTATTCGATTGGCTTTCTCTATGGTCTGGCCCTTCTGTCTGAGGACAGAACATTCCTCTACTAGAAATCCAATGCCCATCTCTGCTGAATGAGACAAATGCTCCTATTCTCTCCACCACCGGCTAATGGGCATCAGTGGGGTGCTCTGCAGGCATGAATGAAACACATGGAGTCTATAACTGAAGGTGCCAAGCAGGTCCAACTGACGTCAATGTACTTGTAGATGCTCATCCTCAGGACCCTTCCAGTGGGTCATCTGGGAGCCTCGCACTAAGGGACATAGAAAGATGATAAAGGGAGAAGCTTGCGTGTTCGAAGCTCTGAACAGACTCCTTGGGGTGGTGTTTCTTAGAGCCTTTCTCTCATAGGCTAACACATGCCATGGATCCCTGGGAAGATAGTGTTTCTCCATGCTTTGGAACTAGAAGCCTGGGGGGGGGGGGGGTCTCTCCTTTTTTTTCCTCTTTTCCTTTTTTTCCATGTGTATTCATGTGCAGTGTATGCATGTGTGCTCTTGTGGGGTGGGGGTCCACATGTATATGTGAGGCTATGTGTGCACATGCAAGGGAAGGCCCAAGGCTGACACCAAGAATCTGTCTCCACAGCTAGCTCTCCCGCCTGTCAGCCAAACTCGGAACTTATGGATAAAGGGAGTCTTGCCAACTGTCTCCCGGGATCTCTCATCTGTGTCTTCTAAAGTTAAAATTACACACGAGGCAGCACGCGTGCACATGTGCCCATGTGCGTGTGTGCTCACACACACTCACACACACACACACACACACACACACACATGCACACCTGGCATTTATGTAGGTCCTAAGGATCCAAATTCCGATCCTCTTGTTTGGGAGGCCAGCATTTAAACCAGTGAACGATGCCCCAGTCCAGGGAGCCTTTTTACAAAGTTCTTTATAAACTTCATGTGCTAAGACGTTTTCAGGGAAGGCTGGTCTATAGCAAATGTCAGCTGTCCAGTCTTCAACACGGGCTTGGAGGGCAGAGAACACACAGCTACACAAAACACATTAACATGAGCTGTCTGGCTTGACCTTTGTAGACTTTTCTGTTTGTCTTTGGGTAGCCCCAAGAACAGACACTAATTAGATAGTCTTCTGAGCCCTTGATTTTCTTGCCTCGACCTCATTTATTTTCCTATGTAAGAAGCAGGGGTGGAATGGCTATGGCTTCCACAGCACAACAGGCCTCCCCACTCCAAGGCCAGAAACCAGAGGTGTCTCAGACCAGGGCTGGAACAAAAGCCCATCAGTGCACACAAATGAGGGTTTGACAGCCTGGGATGGGGA